GTGTGTGTGTGTGTGTGTGTGTGTGTGTGTGTGTGTGTGTGTGTGTGTGTGTGTGTACATACAGCTTCTAACAGCTTGTTCCTGAAGAACTCAATGTTGGCAAAGAAGATTGGTGAAGGTACGCGGAAGATTTTTATTCCTTTTGGTTCAAATATCTGAGAAAAAATGCACAGTGGACTGAAACCATTCAGCTTTTTATGTCATCAAATATTTATTTTCAATTAACAAACTGACCTCCAGGTAATCTTTGCGATTTCTGTACAAGTCAGTACCAGGGATATTAGCCAAGATGGAACAATGGGGGCTAAAGAGAGACAGGAAGTGTTCAAAAGATTGGTTTAGTGATCAAAAAAAGAATCTAAAGATTGTTGATTTATAATAACCAATTAAATTTTAACCTGTTTTTCCCCTTTTCCAATAAATGTAATAAATTTTGTATTTACAACTGAACCCTGAAGATGACAGTGAGCAGCTCCACACCCAGTCCCACAACCAAACCAAGGTCCAGTCCCAACAAGATGGCACCCAGGCACGTTCCAATCCACACCACCTGCACTCAAAACACCCACAGTCAAACACATCACAAAGTGGGCTTTTTAAATGATGATGCAGCTGAAATAGTTCCTGAATACCTACACACTCTGGCTTGTCCCTCCTCCATAGGTATGGTATTTCTCTGAACTGCATAAGCATCCCCTTCAGGTTGATGATCACCAAGGCACCCAAAACAGACTAAATCAGTAAAACAGAATGTTGGTGTCATAAAAATATCTCATAATCTACATTGTAAAACCCAATAAAGTCATTTACCTCAAAATGTTTGCTGAAACTGATTGCTCCGACTCAAAAGTAAAAGTCAAAGAAAAACATTTGATCAYGAACCTTTGGTTTAGAATGTACCGGTAGTGTTTCTTAAGTAAATAATGCTTTAGGTAAACGATAATCCTCTTTAATTCACTTGTCATGTTACAGAATGCTCTTTTTTTGTCTGATGTATCCCACAATACCCAGGTATGGTGTGCTCTTTAGTGGTAACACATAACTCAATAAATTACACCACATAGAACAGGGAAGGGGAACTAGCGGCCCATGAAGCCATCCGACCCACTAATGAGGTGGGCAGTATTTAACCAAATCCAAACTTCTGACTGACAAACAAACTGCATTAATGAATACACAATAACTATCAAACAAATATAGTTCTCTGTAAGAAGTTAAAGTTAAAACATTGCTTTTTTTATTAATTGATAAAATTATAAATCTTACTCTGGGAAGTGGTTCCAGCAAAAAACCGATCGCCACTGTTACGATCATTGCCATCATGGCTGAGACCATTCCTGCAATCTGTATTTAAAGTCAAAGTAAAATTTCATTTAAAGAAGTCTTGTAAGTGAAGTAAAAGGAAAGGAATTATAGAACAGATAGTGTATGATCAACTTTGTTTCCTGACCTGTGTTTTTCCTCCTGAGCTCTCTTGCACTGCAGTCCTGGAGAGTGCTGTGCTGGCTGCAAATGATCTAAAGCTTGCGCCAAACATATTGCTTATCCCAAATGCAATAAGTTCCTGAAACAGAATGAGATGTTAACATATGGTGTCCAGAAATGGTTGTCATACCTCCTAAACCTTTCCAAGTTTTCTTGCATTACAATGAAAACTTCAGGTAAAAGTACTTTTACTGGTATTACTTTGATAGACCAACACAAAGTAGTGCGTAATTGCAAAGTGAAAGGAAAATTAAATTAAATTGTAATGTTTTCACAAATGAAAATCTGAAAAGGATGGCAGGCATTGTATCCCGCCCGCAAAGTCAGTTCTTTGTAAAGCCACGTCTCGCTGCAAGTTGTTTTTGRTTTTTGGATTGAGCGAATGGGGAATCATCCTCAGTAATGAGGGTGTTGCTTCGGTTGGATGTGGTGAAGTAAGAGCTGAGTCGAAAGGCAAAGCTTTCAATTTATTGGTCTGTCTACATTTCAACCATCACATGATGCATGAATTATGACTGAAAGAACAAGATCCCAGATACAAGTGYGACCAAAATGAGCTTCCTTCATAGGGTGGCCAGGCTCAGYCTTAGAGATAGGGTGAAGAACTTCGTCATCCTAGGAGAACTGAGTAGAGCCTCTGCTGCTCCGCAAGTTGAAGTGGTTCCTCTGATTAAGGTTCCTCCTGGATGCCTCCCTTTAGAGGTGTTCTGGGCAACTCCCACGGGTAGGAGGCAGCAGTTTTCAAGTTTTGCTGCAGAGTCTTGGTTTGATTTAGGTCTGGACTTGGATCTGGCCATTCCAACGCATGAATATATTTTGATCTAAACTATTCCATGTAATTCTGGCTGGATGTTTGAGGTCTTCATTTCACTGAAAAGTGAACCTCTGCCACGGTCTCAAATATTTTGCAGCCTCTAACAGGTGTTCTTTCAGGACCGTCCTAGGTTTAGCTCCATTTGTCTTTTATCAACTCGAACCAACTTCCTGTTTCTGATGAAGAAAAGCATTCAAACAACTGATGCTGCTACCACCCTGTTCCACAGTGGGGATGCTGTGTTCACGGTGATGTGCAGGGACTTGTGGCAAACTGTAAACAAGAACTCTTATAGAACAGAGTTCTTGTTTCTAATTTACCTAATTTCCCTCTGGGATCAATAAAGTATTTTTGAATTTAATTGAATTGAATTATGGTTTTCTTTTACTAACAGTTTCTTCCTGCTATTCATCCAGGAATGTTACATTTGTGGAGTGTTTACTATTAGTTGTCCTGTGGAAAGATTGTTCCACCAGAGCTGTGGATCACTGCAGCTTCTCCAGAGTTACAGTGAGTTTCTTGGCTGTCACTTGAAATAATGCTCTGCTTGCCTTGTTTGTTACTTAAAAGCCTGATTTACAGTCCATAAGATATTAGAACTTGCTAATGACAACAATTTCACACTTTTCTACTCGCACCCCTCACTGACACCCTGTCTTGTACATTGCCCCATCAGAACTTATTATACGCTGGGCATTGCATGATTTGTCAGAGCTCATGAGGCTGGTTGTCTATGAAAAGTAGCTGCATTGCGCTGCTTTCTGAGAGCAGAAAAGTAGCTGGCTGAGGCTGCTAGAAAAAAAACTAACAACAAATGCTAACAACAGAAGAAAGAACAAAAACCAAATCATCTACTCTACAAATCTTAATTACTTTGAGTTAGTCTATCGCATAAAATCTCAGTAAAATACTTTAAAGTTTGTAGTTGTAAATTATAGACGTTACAGATTCATGAAGACAGCATATTTGTCAGTTAGTAAAAAGTTATCTTTGTTTTGTAGTAAACCTTTTCGTGTGACTCGCTTCAGTCATGACAACTTACAGTCAACCTTGACATAAAAGCAATAGTCCTTGAAACTTCTTCCTTCATAACCAAGTTTACGAGGTTTGTTCTTTTCATTGCTGACTATGAGTCATTGATTAACTCTATTTCTTTTCTTGGAGCCATATCAGGACAGTCAGTTGTCAAATATAACTCACCTGGTTGCCATCAATGGTGTAATCATGTTTGATAGAGTAGACTTTGGCAACAGAGAAGGCAACAGCAAATCCCACAATGGCTATAGGGAAGGCCTCTACAGCACTCTCCTGAAAGACTTCTATACTGGGTGGAATGGGAGACTCATACCTAGAAAGGTATTGTGTTTGATTACTGGTATGTCAATGATACATGATTATGATTCTCAATTGCAAGTCAAACAAAGAATATGTAAGTAACTTTAACTTACCTGCTAACCATTTTGCCAACAATTTCAACATTATACCTGTCCTTAAAGTTAAAGCCGTAAGATACTCCGCAAGCTATAATCGTCTGTAAAATACAAGTCACATTATTAATAACAGTACTGCCTCAGACAATAAATAACATAATCAGATATAATAGGTAACAAAACATAATACAGCCCAGAACATGCCAAATATGGACGATATAAGTACAGTGTACCAGGTCATTTCATAATACAGCCTAATCTTGTTAGGTACCCTGTAAGTACTAGGTATGAGCTTACTATGTACCAGACAGAAGTACTATGTATAAATCAAGGAAAAACAGGTATGTATTTTGTACATATGAGGTTTGAACTCAGTAAGTACCAGGTATGTTCCTGGTAAGTACCACAGATGTGTCTGGTAAGTACTTGGTATGTATCCTGTATGTACTAGGTATGTTCTGGTTAAGTACCAAATATGTAACCAGTATGCACATTGCACCAGGTACTAGATACAAATCTGGTACATACCAAGTCTGTACCATGCACACACCAAGTATTTCCTCTTAAAGTACCAGACATGCTCCAGGTATGAACGAGGTGTGCACACTGTAAGTACTAGGTACATACCTGTTAATACACATGTAGCATGTTTTTATTTGATGAAGTCAAAGTCTGGGTTGAGATGATGTAAGAACTGTTTTTGGCTCCTATAGGCACTTATTTAGTTTATTTTGCTCTGATGATACAAGCAGACACATTTTCTACACTCCTTTGGAAACAATAATCTGTGCACATAAGTTATCTTGAGCAAACAAAATAAAAAATATTGCTTGTACTTCCAATGCTGTGTGAATCAATTCAAAAGAAATTACCCCAGTAGAACTCACCATTATGGCCTCAATGGGTATGGGAACTGGTAGCTTGGCTTTGTATCTGTCACTTAACTCCTTCACRATGAACACCATTATCATAATCACTATAGACATCACCAGGTCACAGATRTTGGTGGAGGTGATCTGAACAAAGATCTTTTCCAAGGTCTGTCAAAACAGAACACACTCACATGTAATGTTTAAAACCATATTTCAGTACTACTGGGATCTTATGTCTCCAGCTCAGTTTGTGCGTGTATTGGAATTAAGTGAGTTAATGCTCCCATTCTGTTTAGTGCAAATCTTCAGTCTGAAGTCCTTTTTATTTTAGTGCCATRTCAAAACACTCTGCTTTATATAAAACCAATAAACATTTAGTTGTTAACTTGTAAGGGTATGAATCGTTCTTAATCATTTACAGTGAGGCAWTGGATTTGAAACAAGTTACTAAAACAGCTGCAGTCATTTTTCTTTTACTTATTTCCACCGCGAGCCACCTTCCCCCCTCTCCCTCCGAGCGAGTGGAGTACTTTAAAATGAGTACTTATACACTTTTACTTGGGTAAAATGCTTAAGTTGATACTTGAACTTSTACAGAAGTATTTATTAACCCTACTTCTACTTGAGTAATGAACTAGAGTACTTTTAACACCTTTGCTGATGACACCATATTGATAGAGCTTATCTSTGAATGTGGTGAGACAGCATACATGGAGGAGGTTCAGAAACTAGTAGGATAGGCTGCTGACAGTAACTTGGTTCTCAATATACCCAAGACAATGAAGCTAATTGTTGAATTCCGAAGGAGGAAGTCCGTTCTGCAACCTTTCTACATCAGTGCGTGGAGAGGATTTCTAGATTCAAGTTTCTGGATGTCCATGTGGATGCAGACCTCAAATGGACCTCTAACACCACAGAAATTGTGAAGACCCAGCAACACCTCTACTTTCTGAGGATCCTAAAAAATCAGCTTAAAGAGAGAACTGGTGATCATCTTCAATGGCTGCTCCATTTAATGAATGCAGATTTATTACATCTCTGTGGTTCTCCAAATGCTCCAAAGCACACAACATAACTCTGCAAAGGGTCATTAACATGGYCCTCCCAGGAGGGCTAATCCCAAATATCTTCCACCACTTGTCTGTGGTTGGGTTGAGAAAAACCCAGACAACCCTCTCCCTAGTGACAACCTACAGTTCCTCCTGGGATACCAAGGCATACCTAGGCCAGATTGGATATACAGTATAATCCTTCAAGGAAGTTTTCGGTCTGCCTCAGGGTCTTGTCTCAGTGAGACATGCTCGAAAAACATTTGAATGGTGTTGTCCCAGGAGAATCATAATCATATGTTCAACCCACCTAAACAGACCATTAGATATGAAGGAGCAGCAGCAGTAGTCCTACACATTTTGACTGAAGAATAAAACAACTATGACCACCTTAGCAACTCCATCCATCTATTTTTTAGACACTTTCCTATCCAGGTGTACAAAGACTTGTGTGAATTTTGTGTGAATTTACGGTCAAATCAAGAAAACAGTGTACGCACAAATAAATCTAAATGTATGAAACTGTGCAAGCACTTTACTTTTGTACATCCCAATGAATATGAAACTGAGTGCACATCAGACACATAGCTCATCTGGTTACTGATACAACAGACACCAATGACCTTCAGGCCACAACTCCTGGAACTTGAGTCTGCAATAGACACCCTGAACACTGCACATTTGGATAACATGTCCCCAATTTTCACTGGGAGTGGGACATAAAAAAACTCTTTTGGAGGTATGAGTTGAAGATATTTCAGAGTGCGCTTCTCCCCATTCACTACTACTTGTTGCCAGGTCTGTCCAGCAGCATCTTCTGTTAACATATTCTACTAAAGAATGATGATCAGTTAACAAATCTGCCCCACTCATTATTTGAGTATCCAAGACATATGGCTGCAGGTCAGATGATACAATTAAAAAATTCATCATCAACCTTTTTCCCAAGATGGTCTGAAACAAAATACACATGCCCCTTTTTCACTAGGGCCTCTTCACAATGGTTTGACCTTAGTTATCCAYGGTTCCAAGGCTTTTCCACTAGCAAGGATTCGTAGAACCAGACCCTTTTTTAGAACCTAATTTGCTGTGGTTATAGATCACTCTATGCTCCAACATAATGTATGTTAGGAGCAACCTAGAAAGTCCWCTAACACAACATCATTTGGGTTCAGACCAAGGAGGCCATTCCTCCAAAKCAATCCTCTCCAGATAAATATGTCAATGCTCACATGGGCATTGAAGTCACCCAGGAGAACAACAAAACCCTCAGACGGCACCATTTTTAGGGCACCATGTGGAAACTTAAAGCTRCAGAAAGTCGACCCTCTTGATCACAGAGAAGAACTCTAACACAGAGACACTCAGTCAGGGGCTTGTGATAATCCCTCACCTGCTCATTGTCTTTCTCCCTGAGCAAGTTCAGTGTTGAAAATATGTCCACCCTCTCTCCAGGATTTGGGCTACAGAAGAGGTGAGCCCAAACAAACCTAGTTGSTATCKCTCAACCTCACACACAAGCTCTGGCTCTTTACTCACCACACAGGTAACRTTTTACATCTGTAGAACCAGTCTATGGTGCCAGGAGATGGAATGGCCAGTTTCAATTCAGGCAGTTTCTTTTTGGAAATAATTTATATTGGCAATAATGCTGCTTTTGTCAGACTTATTGTATCATATCTCAATTAGTTGCAAGATAAAAACTGAACACATTTCCAAAATTAGATTACACAAATAGACTTACATATATTATAGATAATGGACCATTGATTCCTGGAACAGTCAACCCCAGCACAAACTTGAGCTGGGATACCAAGATGTGAACAGCAGCTGCTGTGGTAAAGCCAGACACTAGAGTGTCAGACAGGTACACAACTATAAAGCCCACCTGTAGAACACCCATGGCAAGCTGTATTGGAGGGAGAAGCATAGAGAATGAAAATACGCTTTTTAAGTATGATTAAGAGGGTTTATACTGAGAGGATCCAGTCTACCTGAAAAATCCCCATGAGGAATGTTACAGAAGAGGCCACCAAGACTCGACGCTGGTCTTCGCTCAGACCTTCAAAGTCTGTGATATTTGCATGTGGTCCTTCTTCAGGAACCAGGCGTATCACCACAGCCCCTACCATTAGACTGAGGACAGGGAAAGAGCCTGAGCAGGTGTAGAGAAAAGGAAATAGTTGTTGTGACACATCGCATTCCATCTTATCAGTGTATGAAGATGACACAAGTTTTCCAATCATATTTTTATTGGGAAAGAGTGATTCAAAATTAAAAGTAGTTAAATACTATTTAAACAGCAAAATGTTTGAAAATCCTATGGCAAAAGGCAAGCTAAATGTATTCACAAGGCTAGCTAAAAGTGGCAGAACAATAGGTAAAATTTAAAAATAACCATTTGGTAATGGCTCATAATTTCTTTTTTTCTGGGACTGCATAATTGCAGATCCAGATCAGTACTGTCTACTGAGACTCAGAGATTATGAATCAGTCAAAAACCTTTTTGAAAACAATTTGCAGGTCAGCCCACTTATACCTACCTAGACTATAAAGAACTAAAGATCCCAATGTATTTCTATGAGAAGCATATTTGTAAAAAGAGCTAAACATTTAGAAATGCATAAACAACCAAATTCCAAATATGTACAGTATAGTTTAATAGCTCATTTTTGCAATTTACTTGCTACATGTTCTATTCAAAAAATGAAAAACAACACTGTCATGATAAATCTGCATCCCATGGAGCTTTTATACATAAGGTTTCATTAAATATGTGTTTAGTGTAGTTTGGTTCAACTTACCTACAGATATGTGCCTTGAAGTTCCAAATATAAAGTATGTTAACATTGGGAAAAATGCTGTGTAAAGGCCATAGACTGGGGGCAACGAGGCCATCAGAGAAAAGGCAAGTCCTAAAAAAATGAAAAAAAGTATATACGGTATCTATTATTAATAACTTACATATAGAATACAGTGTTACTAAAATAGGCTATTCAGAAATGGGAGCTAACWTGATAAATGAACTATAGATACAAAATTATGTTTTTAGATTTGGCTGTTGATCTTTGGTTGTAAAGGCACAAAAACACTCAACAGATTTCATTCTAGCTGTTTCCTTTTGAAATCCAAAGGTCTTCGCTGATCAAATGTACTGATTACCTGGGCCCGTATTTATCAAAGTTCTTAGAGTGGAATTTTAGACTCAAGTGCTGAAAAATTCTTAGACTTACTCTCTTCTTAGACTTCCCTTACTCTCAGACTTAAGTGTAAAAGCAAGTTATCAAAGTTCTTAAATTTAAGAATCACTCTTACTCTCCCGAAAAGTTCAGACTGCTCCAGAGGACTCTTAAGTGATTAAGATTTGCCACTAGGGGTCTGAGATGGACCGAGAAGACAGAGATCACAGCTGTCCTCAAGAATACCCTGCACCACCTCAGAAACTGCACTGAGTGGTCCGGGGATATCCCACCTGAGTGTGATTTATGTACAGAGGAACTAAAATAAGGTGTGGAAAACAGGTTTAGTCATCAATACAAAATAATAA